AAACTTTTCAATGTTCTTTATTTCTCAGATGTGATTTTTGTTACTCCTTTAGCTGTTTGAGTTTTCTTGATTATACAGTATTTTTCTTAAATAAGATTAAACTGCGGCCTACTGTAGACCTGTTCACACCATATTGCCCAGCAACATTAGGCATCTGCCTACTCTCTACCTTTGCTGTTATACTCTCACCTTTCAAAAAGAAAAACGGACATAAAACTTAACGAGTGCCTACCCAACAGTCTCGCGAATACATATAGGAATTGTTTTGTCAGAAAAATAAAAGGCTGGAATTACAAGGAAGAGTTTCAAAGTTCGGAGGAATACTATCCAATCGGTATATACCGGCTTGAGCGTCGATGTCGATGTCTCCTGCACTCTGAAAAGTTTCAAATTGTTGCCTGAAAACAAGGGAAGACCAATCGGTATTCATTATTTTATGTCACTTCTTTTTGTGTTTGTTCTGTGGGGTGTTCGTTATCTGATCATGTGTTCGTTGTCCGAACATAAAAATCTTTCGCGAAAGTGTTTGTTATCCGATTTGTTCATTATCTGATCTGTTCGTTAACCGATCACCCACTGTACTTATGATTGCATTGTCTTATCCATGTGTGTACTATTAATTTAATTTAAACAAAAGTATTATCTCTCTGAATTCTTTCATTTATTGGAAAAGTATTTTATTGAAATATGTTTAACTACCTCTTAAAAAGTAAACAATGAAAGATTCTTAAATGTTAAATTTCTAATAAAAGAAATGAAAATATTTCAATAAAAAAGAAACTCTATTTTTTCCAATATAATTGCAAAAATAAGCAAGCTATCTACAATATTTTACAACATATAAGATGCTACTTTTTCCAAAAAAAAAAAGGGCTGAAAAAATTCTTCCAAAGTCTTATATGTAAAGTTGCAATTTTCCATAGGCTAATGAATTTTCCAAACAGCTTTTAATAAAGCTACAGGTAACCTCTACTAGCTAAACTCACCAAAAATAATATTGTTACTTAAACAATTTATTATTTATAGCTAAGCAGATTTTGCATGTATTCATTTTGAATATTTTAATGACAAGTTTTAATTGTAAATAACTTCTTTTAAATGTCTCTTTTCTCTCTTTTCCCTGTTAAATAAAAACATGCATTCTAACTTTACTTTTTTAACCAAAATGCAGCAAAATAAATTTGGGGCCAAGTGCCAAAGATGCAGGATGGCTCAAATACACTAAATACTTTATCCTAATAAATATTGTGTTAAAATGAAGATTTGTCTTACATGCCATAAAATATAGTACAGTAGAGCATTGATTATCCGAATCAATTGGAGACAGGTTGTTCGGAAAATCAATTTTTCGGATAACCAATTATGTACAAAAAATATATTAACTTATCCCATGGTGAAATTCATTCAAATCCTGGTGTGTCCTTAAGTACCCACTCATGGTCACGTCAGTGCTGCCAGCTAAAACACGTGCACCAACAAAAATAATATTGGAGTAGCCCAAGACATAGCCAAAGATTGCAGCACTACAGCATTAGCGAAAATTTAAATTTGCCAACTGGAAAGCTTTCGGTTAATTGACATTTCAGTTGATCGACATTCGGATAATCAATGCTCTACTGTAATTGTGTCAGTGTTTTCATATAAATAAAAGAAAAATGCTAAATTATCTGTGTTTCAGATATCATTTATTTGAATTTTATGTAATCTATAAAATTGTGAATCATTCAGACTATCTAAGCTAAATATTTTGCAATTGATTGACTGTTCTGTCAATATGAAACATCAGCTATGCTGTATGACCAGCCATAATTTTATTTATTATAATATGACTTTCAATGTGATAAGCCAGTATTACAACAATAGGAAAAGATGCTCTGATCTGAACTATCAACACCTAAAACTCAAAGCTTTTTTGTACAGGTTCAGTACAAATGTCTCAGTCATATCATCATCAAGTTTAGGCTGACATGACTCTCCTTTGTTCTTGCATTTTTCTAGAAAGTGTAGGAGGTAATTGATAAATTTCATTTAAATTTGAGAAAGAAAGGATAAAGTATTAAAATGCCAAGAAATGTCTTGGGACTATTTTGTAAAGGAAACTAAGATAATGGTCTAAAACATTTAGTTTTTGGATTTCCTTGAAATCCTGACTTTTAAGAATAAAATGATTAAGGTCTACACCAAGAGAGGATTTTAAACCAACAAAGATAAGTTTATTCATTTTTCAATAGAATGTTTTTAATAAAAATGAACATATAAATTAAATGTTAATTAAATTGTTATTTTTATCATCATGAACAATTAATAAAAAATATTAAAAATAGCATAATAAAAAATATAAATATTCTTACTGATTATTATTTTTGGATAATAGAAAAATTTGTCTAGAAACAGAATACAATGTTTAAAAATTATTAATATAATTCTATCAGGTGACCAAATAGTTCATACTGACTTTCAATGTTATTAGTCTAATGAAAATTATGTGTGCAAAGTTGCAGGTATGTGCATGCATTGATACACAGTCAATAGCATGTCAAGCTAAATAGTAAATGACATCAAGAAAGGCAGTTTTTGAAGTGAGCAGTGAAGAAAAGATGGCTATTTCAACTGCAATTATTCCAGGACACTTACTCTACAAGTTTAAACTGGGCACTAACATAATGCAGCAGTCTGCAAAATATGTAGAGCATTCGGAGAAAACACAGTGAGTGAATACAAGGCCCAAAATTGGTTCAGAAAATTTGCATCAGTTGATGAGGCTCTTGAAGATGCATCTCATGAGGGAAGATGATTAGGATGAACTGAAACATCATTGAGTTGATTCAAGAGTAACATGCCAGGAGCTTGCAAAAAGGTTCAATGTGAGGTGATGCAAATGTAAACCATTTGTTTTCATTTGCATCACCTAGGAAAAGCCTGGAAGCTGAGCAAATGGGTTTCACATGAACTGAATACTAATAACAAGCTCCAGAGGCTTATGATCTGCTCATTGCTGTTTTCATGGCATAATAATGAGCCATTTTTGGACTAGTTGATGATGTTTGATGAAAAATAAGTTATATGTGACAACACCAAATGTTCCCATCATTCGTTATTGTCTGGTGAATCTCTACCACTTACACCAAAGCCCAACATCCATCAAAAGAAAACTTTGTCATGTGTCTGATGGACTACAGCTGGAATTGTTCATTATGAGCTTCTTTCTCCTGGCCAATCAATCACTACAGATATTTACTCAGCACAACTACAATGAGTTCAAGATGCACTGCTGTAAAACAGCCTTCACTTGCTAATAGCAAAGATATTGTGTTCCTTCAGGACAACACAACCTCACAGAGTGCAAATGACCTGGGACAAACTCCATGGTATAGGCTATCCCACCCTCCATATTCAACAAACATATCACCTCTGAACTATCACCTTTTTGACAATGGACAATCATATGTACAACCGACAGTTTCAAAACCAAGAGGTACTAAAAACAGAATTGAAGGATTTTTTTCACTTCTGCAGTGAGACTTTTTTGGAGTGTTATTTACAAACTTTTTCATTGGGAAAAGGTTGCAGACTGTGATGGTGCTTACTTTACTGAATAAAATATTTTCATTCAGATTTTACATACATTTTAATTTTAACTTCAAAAACTACACAAATTTTTTTGGTTATCTGATAGTAAAACTAATAACATACATAATAATGTAAATACAGTGGGTGATCAGTTAACAAACAGTTCGGATAACGAACAAATCGGATAATGAACACTTTCACGAAAGATTTTTATGATCGGACAATAAACACTTTACTGAACAAACATAAAAAGAAGTCAGAAAATAACAAATACTGAATGATTTTCCCTTGTCTTCAGGTAACAATTTGAAACCTTTCAGAGTGCAGGAGATGTCAACATCGACGCTCAACTCGATACTGCTTGGATAGTATAATATTCCTCCGAATTTTGAAACTCTCCCTTGTAATTCCAGCTTTTGTTTACCTTTCTGACAAATAATTTTTATAGTCTTCGCGAGACTGTCAGACAGGCACTTGTTAAGTTTTGCATTGGGGTTTATTTACGAAAGGTGAAAGTTTAACTGTCCCATCGGATATTCATTAACGTTTTAATACCAAATTTCAAATTTCATCTGGGCCTTGCATTTAAATAATTTTTTGTGGGCTAGTTGATTTCTGTTCTCAGAATTTTTGTAAGTGCTTTTCTGAACTTTTTATTTAAAAAAGAAACTGATAATATTATGGAGCCTAAAAAGAGGAGTGTCACACCATAGAAACCAAGTAAGAGATAATAGCCAAGGTAGAAAGTGGGCACAAGATGTCTGATTTTGCTAGGCAGAATGGCTTGAACAGGTCTACAGTAGGCATAATCTTAGCTATGAAAGATATATCAAGAAGTCTCAAGCTGCTAATGGAGTAATGAAAATCACATCTGAGAAATAAAGAGCATTTTAGAGCTCATAATGGAACCTGAAACTGATCTGACGACAGAAAAACGCCAAGAACTCTCAAATGAAGAATATCAAGAAACTCAGTGAGATCTGAAAAAGAAGAAGACGAAAGAGGACCAATGTCAACATCTGATACTAAAGATCTTTTGAAGTGGGAGGATGTCAGAACAATGATCATCCAAGTGGCATCCAAACCAGAATAAAGTTAATCTTTACAATTACAATACTATTAATTACTATATTACACTCACTCAGCACTTGCTTGTAAACTCAAAAAAACACAACACCTTAATTTGCTGAGAAAACTTTTAATGAAAAGCTAACGTTTTCAGCCAACTCTATTGGCCATCATCAGGCTAAGCTTTTTCGAATACAAAGAAAATAGAACAAAAATTTTTAAATACAAAAAACAAAATAACGAACGAAATATATATATATAAATAAATGTATAAATAAAAATAAAATAAAATAAAAACTCTTATTATAAAATATGTATATGAAAAAAAGCATAGGATAATTAAATTAAAAACGTAACACAATAATACATTATGCTAAATTCTATAAACCGCAAGATATGCAAAAAAACACTAAAAACAAGGCATTAAGATCTGTCCATTCGCTTGATTAAGTATTTCCAGGCGGAAGGCAACCCTTCAGCATCCCTAGAATTAATGCATGTATCATGTAATCTGCTCCTGTATATTTCAATCTTTTCTGCGCAAATCGCCAAAGTTGGTGAATGTACTGGTTTAATAATACTTGCTTCGTCCCATTTGACGATTGAGCCCTCAACTTGCGCCATTTGCGATAGTATTGTGGCGTTAGATCCCTTACTGATATTGTACTTGTGTTCTTTTAATCTGACTCCTAAATTTCTGTTAGTGACACCAATATAATTTTTATTAATGTCTAGTTCACGATTTTCATATGGAATCTTGTATACACCTGCTCTTTTTTCTTTATCTATGCTGTCTTTGTCATTCCTTAATAATCTGTACAGATTAGGAGCTCTCTTGAAAATTAACCTGGACTCTTTGCGGGCTGAGATTTCTTTCATGATGGCTTTTCTCTTTCTATCATACGTGAACTTCGTGATTTTGCCGAAACCGTCGTTTTGCGTTTTAGTTTTATTTGTTTTGTATTTTCTGACCAATGTTGTTATCATACCTTCTTTGTACCCTAGAGATCTGGCAATATGCAATATTCTATTAATTTCTGTTTGCCTATCCAAGACATTACTGCAATAGAGAAAAGCCCTTTGGATAAGGGCACGGAAGGCAGCCATTTTGTACTGGTAGGGATCATTAGAATGGGACGGAATGTACAGAGGGCTATGCGTCGGTTTTACGTATACATTAGTTGTCAAACGCCCTTCTTTAAATTCAATGTCAATATCTAAAAAATGTATCCGTGAAGCACATTTTTGTTCAATCTTCAACATGAGACCATCATCGTTGCTGTTTATCATGTTGATAAACTCATCAATCTTTTGGTCATTCTTCCAAATTACCAAGACATCGTCCACGTATCTTTTAAAATACACAATGGCATTTAAGAAAACAGAAAGAGCACTTTTTTCCAACCTTCTCAATACAAGCTCACATAAAAGTCCTGACATGGGACTTCCCATAGGGACTCCTCTTCTTTGTCTGTATCGACGGCCATTAAATGCGAAAAAAGATTGATAACAAATAAGGTTAGCTAGTTCGATCAAATCATTATTGTAACCCGCCAAATTTGGGCTCTTGCTCAGCATGAAGTCTAAAAGTGCTACTCTGCATGATTCAATTTTTATAGATGGGTATAAACTTTCATAGTCCATCACTGTTCCAATTTCATCCTCCATTAAAACTAGATCTTGTATCTCATTAACCACTTCTCTTGGATCATGCGCCACATGTATATTATTCTCGAGGTGCGAGGTGAGAAACTTATGTAATCTCTTTTCAAGAATAAACGTTGGTCCTCTGCACCTTTCCACTACAGGTCTCATTTCTTTACCCTCTTTATGGGTCTTAGCAAAAGCAAACAATCTTGGCATACCTGGACTGGGATTTCGACAATTTTTGAGAAAAGGTAATGCATTACTCAGCTTAGCCTTTTCAAGCTTCCTAACCCTTCTGTCGATGCTTTCAATAACATTTGCTTCAACACTCTCGCATTCGGTTTTTTTAATGTATTCCTCCATTGCGTTATTATATGTCTGTCTTTTCATAATTACCAAAGCTTTGCTTTTGTCCGCTCTTGTTGTAACCAAATCATTTTTTCTAAGCCAACCTTTAGTAAGTTTGATGTTTTTACCCGCATCAGATCCCTTTTTCCAAGTCTTCTGGTCTTTTATGACCGCTTTCCATCGGATGTATTCTTTTTCTAAAGAATCTAGCCCAGATATTCCTCTCTCTATTTCTTGTATCGAAGTTTCCCATGAACTTGAATTTTCAGGGACAAAGTTTGGTCCCCATTTCAGAAAATCCTTGATTTTATTCGGGACTTCTATTTGGTCCCACAATATGAATGTTGAAGAATTGTTACTAATCCTTCTTGATGCTTGCTTTTTAACGATCCATTTCATTTTACTAATAAATTTACTCCTTATATTTTTCCGAACTGCATCCGTTAGTACAACTATACCACTGTTAATTTCTTTCAACATTATAGGATCTTCATTGTATATATTATTCTCTAATGCTATGAGCTCATTCAATATACCATACTTTTTATTCTTAGCAATTCTAATTGATTTACGAAGACAAATCAAACAAAACTTAGCTTTCAAAGAAGCACATTCTTTTGGGATGCTGATCCTATATATCGACATCGGAAATACCTTGTTTATCAAACATTCTTTTAAAAATTCAAATTTGCATTCAGCCTTGACAAGTTTTAACGTTATTTTCCTATACTTCCTGTAATAATCCACCGGTGCCGCCATATTCTAACTATATTACACTCACTCAGCACTTGCTTGTAAACTCAAAAAAACACAACACCTTAATTTGCTGAGAAAACTTTTAATGAAAAGCTAACGTTTTCAGCCAACTCTATTGGCCATCATCAGGCTAAGCTTTTTCGAATACAAAGAAAATAGAACAAAAATTTTTAAATACAAAAAACAAAATAACGAACGAAATATATATATATAAATAAATGTATAAATAAAAATAAAATAAAATAAAAACTCTTATTATAAAATATGTATATGAAAAAAAGCATAGGATAATTAAACATTAAAAACGTAACACAATAATACATTATGCTAAATTCTATAAACCGCAAGATATGCAAAAAAACACTAAAAACAAGGCATTAAGATCTGTCCATTCGCTTGATTAAGTATTTCCAGGCGGAAGGCAACCCTTCAGCATCCCTAGAATTAATGCATGTATCATGTAATCTGCTCCTGTATATTTCAATCTTTTCTGCGCAAATCGCCAAAGTTGGTGAATGTACTGGTTTAATAATACTTGCTTCGTCCCATTTGACGATTGAGCCCTCAACTTGCGCCATTTGCGATAGTATTGTGGCGTTAGATCCCTTACTGATATTGTACTTGTGTTCTTTTAATCTGACTCCTAAATTTCTGTTAGTGACACCAATATAATTTTTATTAATGTCTAGTTCACGATTTTCATATGGAATCTTGTATACACCTGCTCTTTTTTCTTTATCTATGCTGTCTTTGTCATTCCTTAATAATCTGTACAGATTAGGAGCTCTCTTGAAAATTAACCTGGACTCTTTGCGGGCTGAGATTTCTTTCATGATGGCTTTTCTCTTTCTATCATACGTGAACTTCGTGATTTTGCCGAAACCGTCGTTTTGCGTTTTAGTTTTATTTGTTTTGTATTTTCTGACCAATGTTGTTATCATACCTTCTTTGTACCCTAGAGATCTGGCAATATGCAATATTCTATTAATTTCTGTTTGCCTATCCAAGACATTACTGCAATAGAGAAAAGCCCTTTGGATAAGGGCACGGAAGGCAGCCATTTTGTACTGGTAGGGATCATTAGAATGGGACGGGATGTACAGAGGGCTATGTGTCGGTTTTACGTATACATTAGTTGTCAAACGCCCTTCTTTAAATTCAATGTTTGACAACTAATGTATACGTATGTACAGAGGGCTACAGAGGGCTACATGTTTGACAACTAATGTATACGTATGTACAGAGGGATGTACAGAGGGCTATGTGTCGGTTTTACGTATACATTAGTTGTCAAACGCCCTTCTTTAAATTCAATGTTTGACAACTAATGTATACGTAAAACCGACGCATAGCCCTCTGTACATCCCGTCCCATTTTAATGATCCCTACCAGTACAAAATGGCTGCCTTCCGTGCCCTTATCCAAAGGGCTTTTCTCTATTGCAGTAATGTCTTGGATAGGCAGACCGAAATTAGTAGAATATTGCATATTGCCAGATCTCTAGGGTACAAAGAAGTTATGATAACAATATTGGTCAGAAAATACAAAACAAATAAAACTAAAACGCAAAACGACGGTTTCGGCAAAATCACGAAGTTCACGTATGATAGAAAGAGAAAAGCCATCATGAAAGAAATCTCAGCCCGCAAAGAGTCCAGGTTAATTTTCAAGAGAGCTCCTAATCTGTACAGATTATTAAGGAATGACAAAGACAGCATAGATAAAGAAAAAAGAGCAGGTGTATACAAGATTCCATATGAAAATCGTGAACTAGACATTAATAAAAATTATATTGGTGTCACTAACAGAAATTTAGGAGTCAGATTAAAAGAACACAAGTACAATATCAGTAAGGGATCTAACGCCACAATACTATCGCAAATGGCGCAAGTTGAGGGCTCAATCGTCAAATGGGACGAAGCAAGTATTATTAAACCAGTACATTCACCAACTTTGGCGATTTGCGCAGAAAAGATTGAAATATACAGGAGCAGATTACATGATAAATGCATTAATTCTAGGGATGCTGAAGGGTTGCCTTCCGCCTGGAAATACTTAATCAAGCGAATGGACAGATCTTAATGCCTTGTTTTTAGTGTTTTTTTGCATATCTTGCGGTTTATAGAATTTAGCATAATGTATTATTGTGTTACGTTTTTAGTTTAATTATCCTATGCTTTTTTTCATATACATATTTTATAATAAGAGTTTTTATTTTATTTTTATTTATACACTTATTTATATATATATATTTCATTCGTTATTTTGTTTTTTTGTATTTAAAAATTTTGTTCTATTTTCTTTGTATTCGAAAAAGCTTAGCCTGATGATGGCCAATAGAGTTGGCTGAAAACGTTAGCTTTTCATTAAAAGTTTTCTCAGCAAATTAAGGTGTTGTGTTTTTTTGAGTTTACTATTAATTACTTCCGAAAAATCCTGAAGAAAAGAAAAAAAGCAATCGACATTGGACAGATTCTTTAACCCCCACAAATGGAAAAAAACAGGACTAATAAAAATGCAAGACTACATATATATGTATTTTTACTATTACACATAAATATAGTAAAAAAGTATATATAGTTTTTTATTTTTTGGAGACTCTGGAACGTATTAATCAAATTCCCATAAAACCTATGGTAAATCGATAATCGGTTAATGAACAATTCAGATAATGAAAAAAATCTTAGAACAGATTATGTTCGTTAACTGATCACCCACTGTATTTCACTTTAGTTATAAAACTTCATAAAATCTTTTATGTTATTATTTTGCTGGTTGTTATAACAGAGGGAAAGTATAGCAATCAGTCAAAAAATGACAAAATTCTGTACTTTGTAATATTGTAATTTTTTCTCAATTGTTGTGTATAATATGTAACAATAAAATTAATTTTTTGTTATTTAATATAGTTATAAATAAATAAAAACTTGGCTTAGTCTTTAGTTAAAATCTGAAAAGATTAAATGCTTAAAATGTTAAAGATGTCAATAGTTTCTTATTTAATTAACACAGATTACAACATCACAATTTTCATTACAAATTAAAATATATAACACTAGCAGACCCCGCCATGCATTGTTGTGGCTCAAAATGTATCTATTATAAATGTATAACACTTTCCCCGTGGGGGGAAATTTTTCGAAAAATTTCTTCTTAGTGTACATTCTGTTGATGTACTCTATTAAAACGCAATCAAAAACGCAAAAACCCGCATCTAAAATCTAAAATAGTATAAATAGAAGCAGAGTTCTTTACAGTAAGCCTTAATCCTAACCATCGCCCCCCAGTGGGAGGAATTTTGACATGTATATTATATAAAAACACATGCGTATTCGAATGCAGCGTTGTGTCAAAATTTCAAAGGAATCAGTAGGAACAAACGAACATTACATTTTTATTTATATAGATAGATAGAAGATGATCTGCTTTAGTTCATCCTCACAGAAAAGCAAACTTAGGGCGTCGTACTCGTAGCACCATCTGTTGGAAATAAAAGCCTTAACCTAGATTATATCTTTTAATTAATTTATATGAATGTTTAACAGAATAGTATACAGCCTATGTCCACCCTGAAGTTCCTTTCTAAATATTGGTGAAAGAATTTTTGAAATTGGATGAGTAGTTTCGGAGATTACCCGCTACAAACATAACTTACAAACATTACCTTTTTATAATATTAGTATAGATTATTATAGATTATTCATTACAAACCCTAATTTGAAATGAGAGATTAGTGAATTTAAAAGAAGAGTTTTCTTTTGTTATAATAAGTTTTTTAATATCTTTATATTATTTATATCAGCATTTCTCAAAGTGGGCGATAACGCCCCCTTGTGGGCGCTGGAGGCTTTCAGGTGAGCAGTAGAAGGCTCAAAGAGAATTGGGGGGGCGTTAAGGAAATATAGAGGGGCGACGGCAGACAAATTCTATATATAAAAATTCGACGGAATATATATAAAATGTTGACATTTTATATATTTTTTATTTTTTATTGAAGGTCACAACTTGAATATTTCTAACACATTGACTTTTATTTTAGCTCAGCGTTTCTCAAAGTAAGCAATAACGCCCCCTTCTGGCGCGATGAATAGATCTATGATAGAGGCAGGGTATTGAACGGTGACCAAAGGCAAAATTGGGGCTGATAAGAGGAAACATTGCGT